TCCATGTTCCCGCCCGTAAGGACCTGCGGTCATGGGCATCGTGCCTGTGACATCCAGACCCCGAGTGCAGGTGGCGCAGTGGGAGATGAGAGCCGTCCTTGGGGAAACCTCTGCTCCGGAATGGTGCTCCCTGCTGGGAAGGGGCCGGCGGGGCCTGGGGATGCTCTGCTGTCTGTTCAGATGCCTCCTCTCGCCCCGAGTCAGGACTCTACTTCTGCCATGCCCATTGCTGTCCCCTTGGCCTCGCACAGCCCAGGAGCGAGGCGGCCCTGGTGAGCGCCAGCCCTGTGCAGGGTCCTCGTCCTCTGCTGCACCAGAGCTGCCCACCCGCTCCGGAGCCGAGGTGCCTCGTCAGCTGGTGCGCCGACGCCCAGCCTGCTCAGCCTGCGTCCCCTTCTCTTCCCGCAGGAGCTTTGGGAACGCACTGGGGAACTGTATTCTGGACAAAGACTACCTGAGGTCGCTGAGCAAGCTGCCACGCCAGGTGCGTCGGGGTGGGCTGCTCGTGTCACAGGCGTGTGCTGGACGGAGCAGAAGCAGGGCCTCGGCGTGCAGAGGGCCTGGATCTTGGGTCTCGCACGCCAGAGCCAGCAGGAAGCACCCACTGCCTGTTAGAACCGCGGCCTGGCTGCCGCCCTCGTGAGCACTGGTGGGAGTGGGCTGTGAGTCTCCCAGGGAGCACGGCCCTGTGACGTTGCTGGCACTCCCGGACACAGCTCGCCGCTCGCTCCCCTCGTGCTGCTCTAGGCTGAGACTCCATTTCTGTTAGTCCCTGTCACATGACCCAGGCACTGGCCTTGGGAGGAGTCTGCAGTTCAGCACCCCTCAGCAATACCCAGCCTGGGGTGGGGCCTGACGTGGAGGCCCCTCTTACTGGAGGGGTGGTTGTGTCTTTCGAGGTCCCCCCAGCAGCATCCCCCATCCTTACCTGAGGAGCTCTGCTCGTGGAGCCCCGATAGAAGTGCGTGTCAGTCGCTACCTGACAAAACCCTCTGTCATTTTAAAGATCCTTTTTTTTTTTCCCTAAGAGATTTTTGCTATAAGGCACCTGTACTCACCAGAGAGAAAGTGAGAAATCACCCCCGGGGGGATGGCTACGCCGCAGTCCCTTCTCCATTCTCCTCTCGGGATCTTGGGCACACACTCACGCCTATTATGAATTTTAAGCCTCTGGGTCCAGGGCTCGAACTGTGGTTGACTGTGTGGGAGTCTAGCATTGTAACCATTACACCATCTGCTGGTCCCAAAAGAGATTTTTTTTTTTTTTAATGGGGTCTCATCAGCCTGTTAAAACCACTTTTTTGGGAACCAGCAGTTAGCGTAATGGCTATGTTGCTGGACTCCCACGTAGTCGACCGCGGTTCGCATCCCGGACCCGGTGACTTAGAACTCACACCGGGCATGTGTGTGTGCGTGCCCAAGATCCTGAGAGAAGAATGGAGGAGGAGGGATTGTGGCATGACCATCCCCCCTAGGGGGTGATTTCTTGCTTTCTGTCTCTCTGTCTCTCTCTGTCTGGCGAGCGCATGCACCCTATAGCAAAAACCTCTCAAAAAAAAAAATGTAGTCCCCCCAAATGCCATGTCTTAATCTCTCCTAGTCGAGCAGCTCTCTGTCAGCATAGGTTTTGTGCATTGAGAGGCAGGCTCTGCTGAGTGAGAATGCCTGGGTCCCTTAGTGCTCTCACCCTGGGAGTGAGGTCTCCGTGTGCTGTGGGGTGCGTGATCGTTACCTTGCACCCCAGGCAAGGCAGGGACCACCCCGATCCGGAAGGTTCCCTGCAACCCTGGCTGGCAACCTCAGTGCTTTCAAAGATTTCTTCTGTCACTCGAAGGCCATTTCACCATGTTGCAGGCTTCCCTGGTGACAGGTGCACTTGAGGGGGGTGGTCCCCAATAAGGGCTGGGCTGTGGGTCTCCACAGAGACGACGCCGGGCAGGCCCAGGCAGGCCAGATGCCGAGGAGAGATTCGCCCCAGTCAGGAGCAGGCTTCGTGAGGCCGGTGTGCCGTGAAGACTGCAGTGCTCCACTCCTCCTCGTCACAGAGCTGGACGAATCACGGGGGTCGGGGGTCGTGGGTCCTGTCGCAGCCTCTCAGGACCTAGCAGGGCCCGGCTCTGCAGGGAGGGCGCGGGCAGCCGAACGCTCTCTCGTTCTCCCCCTAGCTGCCTCTTGAAGTGGACTTGACGAAAGCGAAGAGACAGGACTTCGAGCCGTCTGTGGACCAGGCAAGATACAACAGCTGCCTAGCCCACGTGGGCCTGGGGCCCCCAAAACCGCAGGGAGTGGCCTCCCCTTGCCGACGCAGCCGCCCAGAGGACCCCCGCGCCGGGGGACAGGGGGATCAGGGCGGTGGCTCTGGGTACCCGCGCCGGGGGACAGGGGGATCAGGGCGGTGGCTCTGGGTAAGCCCTGCTCCCTGCCTCCACCCTGCCCGCAGCCTGCCCGCCCGCCACTCCTCTTGCCT